TTTCGCTTCACAAAAGTGAGGTGAATATGCGGCTTGTAGCCTGGTAGAGTTATCTCCTCCTAGATTTTAAAAATAAAAGTTCATCCCCTATTTTGTAAAGTATCAGATTACAGTAGCTCCGATCGACCTACAAAAGATGCAGTTAGAGCCAAAATATCCGTTTATTCAAAGCAATGAATTTACTCATAGTTACAAGCAAATATTGTCGGATTATCGAAATTAAAGCCATGTTGAAATAAATTTCCACAATATCTAACAGACGAGGTGATGAAATCTTGTAAAATTAAAACAATGAAGAGAAGCTGACAGACAGCATAACACAAAGACATCTCAGTATCCACACCTGGATAATGATATCCATTGTACCTACACAATGGACAAGGCCTTTTTGGATTAACTGATCGTTTTGATGATTGATCCTAGCTCCTTTAATAGTGGGAGTAGTTTAACATTCCAGAAACATTGGCTTAACTGCTAGATTTGAGTTTCTTTACAAAATTTCGACGTTTGCCATAAGTTTTTTACAACATTCCGACAATTGCATGCAAGCTTGATTAACAGATTTGGAAAAGTTTACAGCAAAGGGCTTTGTCTGTAACATCTAAACATTCGATTAAAATTGGTTAAAAAATTGGGAAAGATGGATTTTGGACACTTTAAGTATCGAAATATTTGTTTTGTTAATTTTGTGTAACGAATCATTTGCTTGAGTAAATATTCTGAATTCTACTTAAAACGACAACTCATAATATTTTTTCGGTTTCGCCAACAACATTTACCGTAAGCTAAAATCAAGCAGAAGGTTGATTTTTTTGATCTCATGATTTGTAATGACTAAGGCTTTAAAACAGGAGCAGAAATTACCTATATTTCTTTTACCGTAATTTTTGTTCTCAGTTCCAATTTAATGACATTATATAGACGTGCAGTTTGTTTTATATGCCATAGCACTTGTGGGCATTTTTAAAAATAATTTAGATTCTAAAAGAAATTGTAATTTAAAACTCTCGGAAATCTGAGTGCTTCCTTGTCGACCCATAAATTCTGACCACCGGTTAAGTAAACAGAATAGTTTTTTTCTTTAAATCACCCATCTAAACTTCGTATGTATATAATACACGTATCATTATTCCAATAATATATCACATTTCTTGTCTTTTGATTTTTTTTTGCAACTAATTTGATTCGTTTTTTCTTTTTTTTTTGTCTGAAAAATTTGTCGTTTCATTTACTTTGAACTAATATGCTTCCTTTTCCCGTAGAATGAAAATTAAATTATTTAATCATCGTTTCGGAAAACTCTGTTGTATGAAATGTTAGCTGTTTTCCTCACACTAACTGCTGATGAAGTTAACTTGATCATTTATCAAGTTATTTCTTTGAAAGGGTTATGCCTGCCAGAACAGTGGATACTATGTACTTTAATATTAAGTCACACATTTCAAGTTCATTCACTTCCCTATCAAAATTATAAATACAAATGTAAATGTACCACCAACTAAAGGGTGAAAAAATAAGTATACGAATCTGCAGAATGGCTTTTATGGACCGCATGCATCCGTTGAAGATAGTGTGCATATGAAGAAGCAAAAAGCACAAATCAAACTTATTGGCTTTAATAAAAGTTCACTCTTTAAGGAAATTCATTTCCTCAAATGATAAATATTATAAACCTATTTAGCACTTTCACCATTAAAAGTTAATAGTATTGGTCGTTGTAGTTTGTTTTTATTCCTTTCGCTACTGTTTCCGGTATCCCCGACAACAATATTAAGGTAATTATTTAGTTCCTCAGTAATTTGATAATTTTGAGATTTCATTGCAGTATGATTATGCACTGAATGTAAGTTATCGTTTATCAGATTATCGACCACTGAAATATATAAAACTGTGAGAAAACGATTTTAAACTCATTTTTAGATAGAGTTGCCTGTCATCAATTTGTCAATTGGGTGAAACGCATTGTTTTCAAAATGATTTTATTTTTGGTGTTTTTCCTTCCTAACAATTATAACATTTATTATTAGCTACTCTAGTAATTGGTATGGAAGATTGATGCAGCTAATATTACTGTAATGACATTAATGTTGGTGTTCTTTTTATGACTTATTAATGATTGCTATTTAAGAAGGAAAAAAAAGTAGAAATCGAAGCTTTTATTTCTAACTAGCAAAAGTTTGAAATTTCATTCGCAGAGATTGTGCAAAATTCAATTATTTTTATCTGTCAAGTAATTTGTGATAATTTCTGATCGTTTCAAATGTTTTATTAAACTTCCTTCATCAACTCTCTTATCCCGGTATTTTTTCTTTTTCTTTTTTCTTTTTTTAAATCGCAAGTGACTACCGTTGCAGCAATTATTCATAGTTGATATACATATTTATGGGAAGTGATATTCATAAATCATTTATTTGCTATTGCTGTAGTTAAATTTATTTCCTTCCCTTTTCAGATGAAATTTGTAACAAACTAACTCATACAGTGTGCTAATAATATAATTCTTCTAGCAATTCCTTTGAAAAAAAGAACATTTTTGAATCGTTTTCATATAAAATTTTATGTAATAAAAACGAATGATTTTCTTTTGTCTAATATTATTAATTTCAGATTTTTAATTAACTTTAATTAGTGCATGGTGGAAAAAAGAAGATTGCAGCATATATTCACTACGTTGCTAGGAGAAAAATATACGTCCCTCATCTCTTTATGTGTGAAATGAAGCAGTTTATAAAAAGCAGGTGGATCAAAATTTTAACTGAAAACAAAAAATTAGGGGGAAGTAAACTCAACAGCAAATGTTGAATTAAATAAATAGACATAATGTGACAATTAACAATTCATCGTATGACGTATTGTCAGATAATTTGGAGTAGGTTATCTGTTAGTAAGATTTTTATTAGATGGATATATTAATATGACGAGTGTTTCAATGTGAAAATTAAACTTTTATAGCGGTACATTTATTCATGTAAATATGCGATTTATTTGTTTCCATTTTATATGCATTGCAAAATAGATGCAAATGAGTTGAATATGTAATAGCAAAAGTGATAGGGATTTAAAAGTGGTGTGTTCGTTATTGAGTTCTAAAAGTATTTTAAATTTAAATATTATTTGGACAAAATTACTTTCAATTGATTATTGGATTATGTAATCTTTACCTAATACCAATAACTGATTAATACTTGCTTTCATGCCTTTAAGCAAAATTTTACTCATTTATATCCATTTCGATTAACCTTAGACTGTCGTAAAAACATCGTTTCCGAGAAAAGAAAAAGCGAAACGCATGAATTTTCTGAAAAAATAAAAGTTTGTCTGCATTTGCAGCATCTGATTTCAATTCATGCATTTTAGCTGTATAATACTAAATCGGAAATTTTCTTTTTCATAGCATATCAAATCACTTTCACTTGTACGAAAGAAATCCTTTTTAGGAGTTGACAAATAATACTGTTTGAATTAGGATTATAATATCATCAAGAATTTATTATTATTTCATTCGAAAATGGATATTGATATATTTTTTATCCTTTGCTTTTACCTTCTACATCTAATTGTTGTAAATATTTTTGAACAAAGATCATCAATTTCAAGCAATGCTAATTTGTTATTGCTATAACTGAACTTTGTGCTTGAAGCAATAGATTAAATCAAGTTGCTGTGGATAATTAGACGGTTTTATCTTTCCTCAGAAATATTAACCAACAGTCAAATGGAAAAATTGAAAAATAAAAGATGTGAGAAAAAAGTGATTCCATCATAATATTTATTTGTAATGGACACCAAAAATATGCTGTTTGATTTTTTTTTCTTTTTGTTGCTAATAGCTATTGTTCACTTTTGTTTTACAACGGATGGTTTGCCTCTCTTTACCTATGTTCATCCTCTTCCATTCTTTGTGCACTGATAATAGATTATCATATCATCATACCATTCGTTACATTTGTTCATCTTATTCCATTCAAATTTGTTGATAACCAATCATGATTAATTGCAGAAATATTATCATCCAATAAATGGATCATAACATTGAACTTGCCAGTAATATATTTCTTTTTACCTTAAATATTTTGCAAATCCTAGCAAATCTAACTGTATTGCTAGCATACTTTACTAACAGTCAACTTTTGGCCAACGAAAATATTATTCTTCTTGTCTCACTGGCTGCTATTGACCTTTTCTACTCCACATTATCAATACCGTATTTAATCGTGTTGCTCAGTGGATGGGTACCAAACGGTATGTTATGTTGTCATACGCTAAACTTTTAAATATTATCAAGTGTACTGTATTAGAAATGGTATGCAGCAATATTTTTACAAGAATGTCCTTTATCTTCTTAAATCTATTGAATATTTTTGTTAGATTTTTGTTGCAATAAATTTTCCGCAGTATGGTTTAAAATGAGTATACTTTATGGGTTATTAACTAATTGCGTTTAATTCTTACTAGTAAACGAACGTGATAGATCATGTGAAGCTAATAATCAATATTTTTGATAATTATATTGAAACTATTGTAATTATTTTTCCCATATATAGTTTATATAAATGAATTGCAGGAATTCATCCTTTTTAATGTTGAAAAAAGATTTTTTAGGCAAAGAGTACCACTATAACGAATATATCGTACTCGGTTTTGGTTCCACTCCAGCTGCACTTATGAAGAGTGGTTGTACGATAACTACCTTGATCGCATTAGATCGAATTTGGGCTCTTTCGGCTCCTATGAAGTATTATTCATTGAAAAAAAGACCGTACGTCTATAATGATTCTGTATTCATAATATATGGAATATAATATACCTTCGAGAATGTTACAATGCAATCAGTCGCATTCTTCTGAGTTATCAGTAATGACAAAGATGCCGTACGTAAAACGATCAGGCAAAAGTTTTCGAATTCCTTAAATTAATAATTTCGGAACAAAAGTTATTCATTCCCTTAAAAATCAATACGATATCAAATATTTTCTAATACTTCAACAGTTATTTTCAATGTTCCGTGAGGAAATTCGCAAATTTTCAGTCTCTTATTTTGTGGCTTCGTATTTTCACTTTTGATGGCAGGATTCGATTTGTCGTTGATATTTATTTTATCAAATGGTATAAAACCGATACCCGGCTGCGGCACATTCGCCTGCTTCACTTCTGAGGTATCAAGTAACTTCAAGTAACATTTGTGATGTTTACGTGGAATACACATATATCACTTTATCACTGTTTCATGTTTTTATTTAAACTAATCTAAAAGTGATGCAAAGACTAAGTAAGCCAAAAGTAAGCAAACAATTCATCATATTTTATTTCTGAAACCCCAAAAGAAACGATTTTGAACAATTCTTGGCAGAATAATATCTAATAATTTACTATCAAATAGTGTAATTCATGACATTTTAGTCATTTCGCACCTATTGGGGAATGTCCAATATGGTTGTCAATTTACTATCGTGTTTATTGACAATCGTCGTTGCACTGTTGCTCAAAATGAGGAAAATGCGAAATGCAATCGGCAATAATAGTATTG